CATACCATTGGGATCCCCACCCATACCAAGGGGGAGATTCTGGAAGCCCCCACACCATCACCTTGTATTCTAATTCATGCAAATACATTGGGTATTGCAGGGGAGGGGAAGAGGTCACCTCTCCCCCATTTAGAGATGCTCTCTCCCTCCATCTCTTTCCCCTCTTTATATTATAGAACGGAGAAGAAAAAGGAGGGAAAATAGCTTGGGGGTGATGGTGGAGGGGAGAATAGGGAGAGCCTAGAGAGGGAGGAAATAAATGATTTAGAGAGAAGTGGAGAGTGGATTTAGTGGAAGAAAGATAGAGAGAAGGGGGTGGAGGGATGGGGGATGAGTCCCGCCCACTCCATTCCCCATTCCAAATCCTTCTTGCTTCCTTAATTTTGCCCTGCCAGCCCTACCTTGTGCACCTCATGGCAGGCTGGTATCACACGCTACCCATTACCGGCCAAGCCTTGCATCTTTCACCGGCCAATGCCAGTCCAGCAGGCGACAGTGGTCATTATTACAGGAGCACCTCCAAGATCCCATCAGGCTTGGGGTCCCATTGTTGCCAGGTGCCGGACAAACCCGGAGAGAAAGAGAGGCGCGCTGCCCTGAAGAGCTGTACAGTGTTTCTGACTCAGACACAACAGACTTCAGTAACGTGGCACACCCTCTGTGACTCGAGCACCTTCCAGAAGGTGAGAATTGAATCCTCAAAAACGTTGCAAAATCAGGAAATGCAGTTAAGGTGATACTTCCCACACAATGCAGCCGTGCAACCTTAACTCTGCCCCTTTCAATCTTTTCCCTCAGGCATCCCTCAGAGAGGCCACAGAACCCTACCCCTTCCTTAAACATTTGTATTCAGAGTAATCACTGCCAGCCAGCGATAAGTACCCCCAAAGTAACGGTGGTGCATGGCCCGTCCTGGCCTACAATCGCGGTGGAGACAGAGAAAATGGCAGTTTTTATTAGGGGGAGATGGGCTACTGGGATGTTCCTCTTTGGCACTGCAGCAGGAGCAGTTACAGCGGCATGCAGGTTTGTGGGGGAAGCGTCGCTTTGCCTGGACTGTCTGGTTTTCCAGGGTTGCTAATTTAGTATACAAGAGTTTAAAGGGCACAAGGCACGCAGGCCACCGCTGGGAGCCTTCAGCCTCAACTCCATGGTAACAAAGCTGCTTCCCTGTGAATTTCCATCAGGGTTTTATTTAAATGGGGGGTGATGGGAGTGCAGCGGTAGCGGGGTTCCTGTGCACTCCTCACAGCCCCTCAGCTACCCCAGACACCCCTTCCTTTGTCTCCTCTGGATGTAGCCGCCAGAATCCCTGACAGAGGGCCTCCGCCTCTCCCTGAAGAAGGGAAATTATGAATGAGAGATTCCTCAGAAGCTCCTTAGTACCAAAGCAGCCAGGATTATTTCCAGTCTCTAACCAAGAGCCAAAATCTCTTATGGATGGGGGACTGAGCCACACAGCTTAAAGAGGCACTCAAAGTCTGGGAGCTAGGCCTCCAACCTAGGCCTCCTGAGTCATAGTCCAGCACCTCAACCCCAAGACCCCCATTCCTCCTAAATCTCTCTGGGGTGGGGTGTTCTGGGCACAGAACTCAGAAGGGTGCCGATCTCCATTTTGGTTTTTTTGCTCTCATTCTGTAAGTAGGCTGTGGAGCACAGGACACGGCCTCAGTTGGGAGACTGTAGACTCACCCGTAGATCTTGGTGAAGGTTGGCAGCCCTGCAAACTAGGTCAGTAGGTCATCAACACACCTCTTTCAGCTGACAAAGCTGATGGTGCTGCAATCCAAAACTAAACCCGCTTGCAAAGGCAGTCTACAGCCTTGCTCAGACTAGGCTGTGACGGGGTGGTGTTCGATCAAATAAGTATAATTCATAACAGATAGACCTTTAAACTTCTTCATTACTTCAGGGCCAAACTTGTTCATGCTCTGTACCACTGAAGGCAGACAAGGATGTCCACTGGCCATGCAAGTGCCATAATACTGGCAGGGAGTAGTGAAAACTATATGTGGAACAAAGTCACAGCAATGAATTTAGTGGCTCTGAAAAAAGTGGCTCTTCAGAGCCGTTTGAAGCACCTGGCCCTGTGGCATGCATCACAGTTGAGTACACAGTACTCGGACTAACCACACACTTGTTCAATGTGTTAGGAAACAACAGTGAAGAGCAAAGTTCACACGGCAAGCCCAGGCACCAAGTAAGCCCCACATTAAGAGGTTAAAGAGAGGGTTAACTGGTACAGAGAACCTTGCCAGGACTCTCCGTGGTGGAATGCATTTCATCCTAAACAAATAAACCTCTTGGCTCTTAGACCCAGGGCTTTGGAGCGGAGCCCGGAGCAGCTCCGGAGCAGTGGAGCTGCAGGTTTTTGCCTGGAGCCGGAGCGGAGCCGGAGCACAGCTCCAAAGCCCTGCTTAGATCTGTGCTTCTCAGAAGAAATTTTAGCATTTGAATAGACATGATCTTAGACGTTTGGTCCTGCTGACCATGGTGTGCTACAACTGTCACACTGACATGGCTTTCTCAACCCCAAAACACTCCTTCAGAGCATTCCCCTCTGGGTAAAGATGTGCAAGGAAACTACAATACCAAACATATGAGGGATCTTGGGCTTGGTCTACACTAAACCCCCAAATCGAACTAAGGTACGTCGACTTCAGCTACGTTATTCACGT